TTAGAGTGTAGAGAATGAATTAGGGTTGAACAAAACTCTCGAACCGAATCCTAACTGAACTGAACCAAAACCAATCGGTTCTTCTTAAGTTAAATACCCGAAAGGGTATTTGAATTGAGAATCGATGGGTTTAGTTCGGTTCTCGGTTCTAGAATCGAAGAACCGAATTTCTCTAATTTTAAAAATTTTTTATTTTAAATAAGTCAAATTATTTTTTTCCTAAATGAATTTGTTAACTAATTAATTTAGCTCAAACGTAAAATATGATTTTATTATTTCTAATTTTTAGTTGGCACAACTTAATCACTTAATTTTTTCGATTCGGTTCGGTTCAGAACCGAACCGAACCGAATCGAATTGGACCATGTCCAGCCCTAGAATGAATTGTAAAAGGAGGTAAAGAACAAATCAAGATCAAATTCGAGAAGTACAAGATGGAATTCAAGAATTTTCTGGTGATGAACAATCTTTATATCTTTTGTTTTCTTCTTCATAACATGATATGCTAAATTTAATTGTAATAGGAGAACGATGAACCTTGTAATATGAATTTTTAATAGTTAGTTTTACATATTTGATATTGAAAACACGTTTTTGGATTTTGAATGATTTACATGATTATCTTTTCTCTACAATTATTGTGTACGATATATTATATGAATTTAGTGACTTATTTTATGCATTCGAAAGAAGGAAAATATGTTCGACACAATGTAAATTGTCATGTGATCCAATAGGGGATATAAATATACCGCTATACTCTTTGTGAATCTTTAAGTATTCATAAAAAATTATGTATTCTTGTATGATCGCATTTATAATAGAAATATAGTCAGGTCATATATGAGAGTATGTTTAACATTACTCGAGAGAGATTTTTAAATAAAACAAGAATATCGATTTTTCAAAATTCAATATTATTGTCAAAGTGTAGAACTAAAGTTAAAAATAATTATTGCATGGGAATTCGAATCCTAGTGCATTTGTCATTTATTATACACATCAATTTGCATTTAGTTTAGTTAATTTATTTATAATTGCATAAGTATATTATTTTAGTCATAGTTTTGTCACAAACAACCGCACCATATTATTCATATTTTGGTGAAGGTCGCGATAATTAAAACTGAACAAAATCAATCACCGTGGGACAATACTTGGATTCGAAATTCACTTTATTACTTGTTAACGAACAGTACATTTGCGATATTTTTAATTCGAAAGATATTTTTGTAAACAAATCACATAGATTATAAAAATAATTTTGATAAAACTAGATCATAGTTCTCTTAGATTCTAAGGTTCTCGCATGAAACCCTAGACAAAGGAAGATCTATGACTGCTTAGGTCAAGAGATCCAAGAAATAGGATTGAAACCAGAAAATTAAAAGCTAGGGTTATAGGTTGTTATGAGACGTTCGATGAACGTACAATAGAAATTTAGAGCATTAGAATCTGTTGTCGATCTCTAAGAAAAAAAAGATATTTTAACCTTGAAAAAAATCTAGGGGTTTTGACTGTCAAGAATTCTAGCATTAGAGGTCTGAAGTACTTTTCCTTCATATCAAAGGCTTTGATACAACCGTTTGTCCAATAAATAAAAAAAATCTAAAATACAGGGAAGTAAAAGAGAACGTCAAGATTTTTTGCCACAAAGGGTTAGAATGTTCAGCAAAAAAGCATACTCATTATGTCGAGTTTTCACAGAAGTTGACTCTCTACAACCACTAGCACAACTAAAGAATGCTCAAGTTTACAAAGATTACACCAAGTTTCATGGAGAAATGTCCTCAGATACAAATTTCTCTTACAACTCTCTTCGAAACCAAAATTACACGAAAAAATCAAATGTTGCTGCTCACCAAGAACAATATACAAGTCCTCTAACTCTCTACTTACATCAAATCTCACCAAGAAAGAAGAAATCAAAGAGAAGACGAAAAGTACAGAGAGAGAGAAAAACAATAGCCTTAAAAATTCTCTCTCAAATGAGAGTAATTGCTATTTAAAAGATACAACTACAAAACCCTTTCATTAAGAATAATGCTATCTAGCACAAGCGATATTAGTGATATTAGAACACCAGTTTAGATTGCTACACTTTATATGTTGGATTAAATGAGTCATGTAACTTTTCATTTAAATGAATATCTAATATTTAATACTATGTAATTGTCACCTAAACCAATGCTTGGCACTAGTGATTAATAACATTACTTTTCATCAATGGTCAAAAAATTGCCACATGTCATTATCTTTGTTGTTTCCATGTTGACACTGAAATTCACTTTGAAAACAGAAGGTAACAAATTAATCAATGAACAGAGTCAGCAGTCCAAGTAAATCATTGGGCTTCATCAGTTAAAAGTGGCCCAATTGACAGACCTGATTTGTGTATTTGGAACGTTACAAAATTTGACAGTAAAGTTTGTAAAACATAGGCACTAATCCATAATATATTCAGTCTCCATACTACATCCAAAATTTTGTTCAAAGCAGTGGGACCTTATCTCTCTGGCTTCCACTTCAACATATTACAAACATATATTAAACAACTTCAAAGTTAGAACAATGAATGAAGCTCTCCACACACTTTTTTTAATACTTGAAGTCAATAATAAGACAATATTTATTTCTTTGTTTTCAATAATTTTCATCTTCTACATAAATTAATCAAAATGGGGTGGCACCCTACATGAAATATATAGAAACATAGAAACAGGAACAAAAACCCCTTAAAATCTGCTAAATTCAGCTCAGATTAATAGTGCATAATCAGCTAAATTTAGCACTTGTTCCTGTCCCTAATAAACCTACCCCCTAACTATTATCCAGAAATTATTGATTACAACCCATATCTTTATTTTTAATTTTGTGTTTCCTATTCATTCTCTTTCCTGCATGAATGGCCCAGCATTGGTTGTCTTCATCCAGCTTTCAAGATTCACATGGATTTTGCTTGGAGTTTTTTTTGCTTGTCTCTACCTGAATGTTCCTCCAAAGGTAGGCGTCCAGAAGTCAGTTGCAGTCTCGGCAGCAACTGGGAAAGTACTTGATATTGGCACAAGGCGAAGTCCTCGGCTTTTTAGGTCTTGTTTTGACCCTCCATTGGCAGGATATTCATCGGCAGCCTGCATAAATCACCATGATTGTCATTTTAAAATATCAAATAATTGCATCCTCATACATTCTTTTAAATAAAATTTGTGCATTTCGCAGTTAATAGTATCTTTACCTGCTACCTAACTAGGTCGCACAAAAAGGAAAATGTAAAATTAGGACACGACACTCTAAAATACCATTTTTGAAAGAAATAAAAAAAATTAATAAAACCCAAAATTTTTGTGGAAATGTTATATAAAAAAATAATCCATTAAACAAATAGTTGAATGCAATGCATATGCCATCAAAAAGATGTATTTATAATGTCAGCTAAAAAAACATTTTAATTACTTGTAATTTTTTTTAAATGAAAAGGCTAAAATGCACTATCATGCATGTGTATTTGTAATTAAAGCCCACTATGGAACCTACAATTCCATTTTTTTAAAGTCTTCTTAAAGGTTTCCCTGATGTTTCTTTTAACCTTTGGAATTTATTAAAAAATAAAAAAATCGAAACGATATTTTTTAAAACACTTCGTTTTTTGCTGGGAAAAAAAAAAACTAGCCTTTTTGGAATTCTTGTACATTATTGTCGTACCTGTTGATGTTCTACAGATGATCCATTTTTCATGTAGGCAGTGCTTATTACACTGACTTGATGATGAAGAAACTTGATATATTCAATTGTTTCATGGAGAACTGAAGCAGTATCAGTCTGAAAGAGTAATTAACAACATAGCATTCAGTTAGTATTTTTAGTACAAAAAATAATTAGGTTTCAAATGAAGTGTAGGACACTAATTAGTTTTCAATGAATAATGAGTCCAAATTTTTACCTTTCCGAAAGGTGAAACCAACTGTTGGAGGACAGTGATTCTGTCCCCAAGCTTCTCTTTTCGGACCTGATAACAAATGTTAAAGAGTTCTCATCCATTTCTTTTTACAAATATTAATGATTTCACTTGTAAAAGGAAAAGCATAAAACTTAATTTAGTCAAAAGTTCAATCCATTACGTAGTACCTTAATGGTTGGTAATGACGATGGTGTTTCAATTCGCGAACGCTTTAATGCTGGTTCGCTGCTAGTTTTCTTTGCCACTGAGCTTAACCCTCGAGTTTCTCTATGGACACCCTAAATTTTTTTATCAAGATTGAAGCTTTAATTCGTTGTTATGAGAGAAATAATAAATCTGATAAAATCGGACATCCACGAATCAAATACAAGGATTAACAGTGATTCATTCTTAAAGCGAAAGCAGATCTTTCAGTATAAATAAGAACCCCTAGAACAATACTTCAAATAAATAAGAATATTATATGAATCAACAAGGGGATAAGTGTACATATTATTAAACTCCACAAATCCCAACAAATTGTTAGTTGCTAAAATTAGTTTTATATATTGAATAATTGATTTCTACATGGTATAGAAAAAATTATGTTTACCTTGTGAAGATTAGGTTCCGCGTGGATATTTGATGGAGGGAAGTCGGATTGTGTTGAATGGAGTAAACTTGCTCGAACATCATTCACAGATGCAGCCTTGGCATTCAACAAGGGTGTGTTATGATAGAACCGTAAATGATCTGCAGGTTGTTTATTTGGCAATGAAGGCTTTATCAAGGGAGAGAGTTGGGGCAAATAAGGTGAAAATTCATTCATCCGGTAACTTGTAGGAGATTGGTAGCTGTTCATTGCCTGGTTTTCAAAAGATGAATTATGTGGCTGAGAGTCTGTATCAAATAAAAATTTCAACAACGATGAAGTGTTAATGGAAGTATCTTGTCCCCAGTTCTTGGAATTCCAGTCCTTTTGGATCTGTGGACAACTCACCCCAGTTTGGGGCAGATAATTGATGCTGGAATTCAGGTTTTCTTGTAGTATATGAGCACAATTTCCCTGAGATATTCTTCCATTTTCATAGCTGTAAAATAACAAGAAGAAAAGAGATTAAAATTCATCAACTTGACATCCTTTTCCATAAACGATAACAAAGTAAATAAGTCTAAAATATACTTCTTTTAGGGCACGCAATAGAACACAGAAGAGTAAGGATTCCCGCTTAAATCTATATACTTACAATAAATCTTGGTTCATATGATCAGGTGTTGATGATGAAATTTCAAAACCCATCATTTGCAGGGTTGAACCAATCGATATGTTGCCATTGGTAATAAATTCTGAGTCTGGTTGCTGAGGTTTTTGAACATCTTGGAGTACTATAGAGCCATCAGAAGGCGAACTTGAGTCATCGTTAGACCTTGTATTTATGTCCATAATCATGTCATTAGGACATTCAAAGTTTGCGATTTCATTGATATTGGATGAACAAAGGGAAGAACCAAATATATTTCTGGATGAATTCCACCAGTTTCCTCCACAAACCTCGCCTTGAAAGTACTCTTCTTCCATGGCAATTAAATCTCTTATTCAATCCTTTGACAAAATTAACCTTCTTTTCCAGCACTAGTCTCTTTGTTATATATATTCCTCTTGCCTCTAGTCGTGTCTTGTGTTCTCTGCAAGTTCGGTTCATATATATATATATATATATGCAAGTGAATTTTAAAGTTGGTGCACAAGTAGCTACGCGTTGAATCGCCTTGTTTAAAAGTTAAAAATTAAATAAATTTATTTATTTAAATTATGTTTTTAACATGTCCGTATATGTGAACACGAGATTCAAGTCGTCATTTAAATGGTTGACATATATACAACTTTCATATATAGGTGACGACGAGACTCAAATGCAATATTTCTATCTATTCTTTCTTATTTAATTTATTTAGAAATGTTTTTGAATCATATATGTGAAACGATAGAATAGTACCCCACACTCGAATTAACTTTCCGGTAACTGGTTGACATTTTGAGTGGTTTATGATCAGAAAAATAAATCAAGGAGCTAACAAATATTGAATTTGAATAATGACATCCAAAAAGTAAAAGGAATTTTAGATGGAATTCTCCTTCTTCATATTTAATATTATCTTTTCTTACTTTATTTTTATTTAATTCTTTTTCAATTCTAGATGACTGAGGTACGAACCCTAAAAAATTCCCACTTGTTTACAAACAAGGGTACGTCACACTTTCAGCTGAATTTTGTATTTTTTGCCAAAATAAATATTTTTTTTTTTTTCGTTCGATATATAGTATCAAATTTTATTATTTTTATCATTCAATTTGTTCACCATCGAATATGTCATAATTGTTTGTGTACTAAATCAGAATTTCAGGAATTCACTCAGCTAGTAATATGCTATTATTGTCAACCTTGAGAGCCAAAAAAAAAAGAAATAACGATAAATATGAAGCTACATGGCGTTGACTTATGAAAGTCAAGGGCAAGTTAGGCCAGTTTCACAGTTAGATTTTCCATGACATAGCGAATACCCTGGACTTCATTTAATTTCTTTTAATTGACCCAATCCAATTAATTATTATTGAGAATACTCTTCAGCGCAGAGAATTTTTGTTGCAGTCCACTTGTTAAATATATTCGTCAAAAATTAGACCAATTACAAATAAGTCAAGAATCACCACCTTTTATAATTGTCAGTCTTTCGGCACAAAACTTAGGTCTTATGGTAGACCGATAAACTTGGATTTAATCGAGGGTTACAAGAATATGTTTGATAGGTCGAACTAAATAAATTGAATAAAATTAAAACAGAGCATATGAATATATCTCTTGTTATGTATAGTATTGACTAATCTAACGTATCAAATCTGCATTAAATTTAACTTGTTTGGTTTTGCTTATTTTTGAAGAAGTAGCTTTTCTTGATGATATGGTCAAAGAAAGATGCAAAATGAGCCTATATTGGCTTCTTTTGTGTTCTTTTAAGCTAATGCTTTGAAAATTAATCTTGACCTACTAGAGATGTATCGATAGGGAATGAATAGTTTGAATTGTAAGTCCATTGCATTTGCTAGGCAACTTCAATTCTAAATTTTCATATTACAATGAAAAAATCAAATGCTGCAAACTCGAGTCCAAGTTGGTATAGTTTAATGGATAGAAGTGTATCGGTAAACAAATGTTTAAAACATTTATATATATAAATAATCAAGCATATTCGTTTCTAAGAAGCGTATGGCGGCCAAGTGCCTCCACGACGGGATTATGGTGGTGGGTGAAGTGGTGAGGAACTGAGTGGGCTGTTTGAAGTTGGAGGCAAAGACAAAGTGCTAATCATTCGTGGTGAGGGATGCTCACACGAGTCAAACCAAGGGTCCACAAACAACACGCGCATGACTTGATACTTTGGACCCTTCTGGCCTTC